TGAATTAACTTTGCATGATGACCAGATGTCACAACGGAGGAATTTAACCAGAACTTTTTAATGAGATTTGTGTAGATGGGGCCATGAATAATGTCAAATAACCATTCAACTTTTGCTGGGAAATAGTTTTCCTTATATCAAAACCTTTGTCTTTCAAATCATTGAAATCAATAAACTTTTCATTGATAACAAACAAAAGATTTTCATCCATTTTTTAATAAAATAAAAGACTTTGAAAATAGGTTTGAAGACACAAAGAGATGGAAATGAGACGTTGAAAATAGAAATATTGTTTAAATATCTCAAAAGTCTCCTTAAAAATCCAAAATATATGTTATGTTTTGAATATGGATGGTGATTGTTATTCTAGTGACATGATTCCAATGCCGCCACGTTTTAGAAATGAAACCACATCTTACCTCAGATTTTATTATAACCGAGGGGGAAAAAATTAAGGAACCTTTCTTTTATTACATTTTTATTTGTAAACTAAATGATATATCCCGTCGGTTTTCTTAATAACTGAGTGATAAAATAATCAGATTTTACTATAAAAACACTCCTTAAACAGATTTTACCCCAATCCTAACTCACACGCATCATTCTTTGGGATGAATTGAAAGATAATGAAATGTTGGAACTTAAGAAGCTTGAAAAAGTTCTCTATGAAGGATTGCAAGTGCAGAAAAACATTTTTCAATGGTTAGAACAAATAACTCCTTTAAAAGTTGGATGCATTCAATCCATATAACATTTTCCAGTGTTTGGAGTAGATAACTTCGTACGCCAAAAATTTATTGTTCTCCAAGAATATAGATATGTTGTGATATTGTGTTTTAATATTTTGTGTAAACAATGTAATGTAACAAAAAAAAAGAAGTTTTTTTCATATCGATTTTTAACAAAATCGACGGGATAATTTAGAATTATAATTGAGGATATTGATCATCGTCCTTAATCAAATATTTATCGTCCATTTCATAACTATCAATGCTCAAGACACTACCATTAGTGATCTATGTGAAATATAAAAAACTTTCCTTATAAAAGCATCCTGAATATCAAAAATTGATAATAAAACATCATGAAGTGCTTGAAACTATCTACATCCACCACTTTAAGGTTTGCAAGAGTGTTTGCCATGAAGAATTCTCTATGATGGATTGCAAGAGCATAAAATTATTTGGTTTTAAGGTTCGTGTTCTTAAATATTTATTTGAATAGAAAATCATTTATTTATCTAACACTTTTTTGTTTATATCAAAAACAAATGCAAGGAAAAATAATTGAAAATATAGTGGCACTCAACATTTGATCTTTCTCGGATAACAAGGATTTGAAGATCCAACATATGATCTTCATGGATAAATTAATTTTTATTTTATTATTCTGTGGAAATAGTGTAATATTCTGGAAGGTAAAATACTCATTTTAGTCCCTTAACTATATCCTTGGGTTCAAATTGGTCCCTTAATTTTTTTTCGTATCACATTGGTCCCTTAACTTTCAAAATGTTTCATTTTAGTCTTTTTTGTCTAATTAGCGGCGGAAAAACTTTGAAATTGGTCGCTAAATCCGTTACTAATTAGATTAAAAAGACTAAAATGAAATGTTTTGAAAGTTAATGGACCAAGGTGACACAAAAAAAAATTAAGGGACCAATCTGAACCCAAGGGTATAGATAAGGGACCAAAATAGATATTTTGCCTATTCTGGAAAAACTTATAGTTTGTAAAAAAATTATTTTATTAATTTTCTGTGTAAACAATGTAAACGAGTTTCAATTTAAAAAAAAAAAATCTAACTTACCTCTCTATTTTATTGATAAACTGAGATATATGAGGTGCTAGTTTTGTAAATAATAAAAGTGCATTTGATGGGGTTCGAACTCATTTTCAAATAAATATACCCCTTGGTGTTTTAAATACCAAGGTGCTAAGTTATTACTTCTCATGACGCCCTTCGTTACCTACCTCCCTTCTTTAGCTGAGGTAAAATGTATTTTGTGTCTGAGGTTAAAAGCGCTTTTTATAATAATGTTAGGTATACAATCGATAGTGCGACCTTCAAAGTGTTATAATTTCTTTGACAAATGATGATATTGTAAGGAGAAAAATAGTTCACCACTATATGTTTTACTTTTACAGTCTTCATGTTTCCCCATTTTCCGAAAGTAGTCCAAATGGTGATATTCCCTAGGACTTGCACCTGCTCATGAAAAATCAACAAACGAGCCCCTAAAAGACTGGTGGTGCTCGGGTTTTATATTCAAACCTTCAAAAGCTCCAGTCATGAATTTGGATGTTGATTACCAAGGGATCATCCTCATGGGAGATGATTCCTTATGCATCCCTGCTGGAGAAACTGATTTCTGGTGCTGAAATGGCTCTTTTTAAGGACGGTGATCTAGTAATGTGCATCAAATGTTTAGAATACTTTTTCTTAGGTGAGTTGGGTTCTCCACCTCCCGTGAAGCCTCCAAAATTCATGTTTTAAGTGTTGTGTGGTCGTATGGGCTCATGTCCCTCCTCAATAATTTGACCTCTTTGGGGCTAAGGAGTTCTTTGTATGCCTTCTATTTGTGACAAAGTACTCCTTTATAAATTCAAACTTTTGTTGTGTAGTGGTCTTTACTAGATCCTATTGGTTCCTTAAGCCTTGAACTATCTAAAGATGAGAAAAAAACTCCAACTTTGTCCGTAGGCCTCCATACAATTCTACCAAAGTAATCCTGGAGAAAATAACCTCCTTCTTTTCCATTGAATTTTTTTATCTCATCCACAACCACACACACATATGCAAACCCCTGAAATCCTCAAGAAATACTTACAAAAATGTTAATCACAAGAATGATCCTCCTTACAGATATCACACCCTAAGATGAGAACTTGATTCAAACAATAATTGATGATGCAAGAGGTTAAAGATGAAGAGATTTTGTTTGCAAAACTCAAAACAAGATTCAAAACCCTTTTTAAAAGTTGAGAGAAAATGTGTTTGTGAGTTCTAAATCATAAAGTGGATGTGTAAGTTATGAACATTATGAAATGGATTTGAGAAAAGATTTATATATGTGTTGGAGATCTAGCACAAAAATGAGATAAAATTGCTATGTGATTCGAGTCACAAGCAAGAAATGTGATTTGAGTCAAGTGAGTAAATGATTTGAAAAACGGCTCCCATGATTCGAATCAATTCATTTTATGATTTGGGTCATGTGATTCGAGTTAACAAAACCTTTTATTCGAATCAAAATCACAAATCCAAAAGCCAATAATTATTGTATGAGTTTGATTCGAGTCCATCATATTTGTGATTCAAATCAAACATCTCTGATTCAAGTCTTGGACTATTGTGGTTCAAATCAAATTGTCAGAAGCAAAATCTGCTTTTTAGTAATATGTTTGATTCGAGTCACGAACGTCTGTGATTTGAATCGGGCTCACATAAACGGCTTTTCCATAAACTTTTATTCGAATCATGCTAGACTGTGATTCCAATCACACTTCAAGATTTAAAAAAAAAATAGAATGAAGTTTTATTCTGAATCGGAACTTGATACGACTTAAACCATTCTCAAATGCGTTTCTTGATTCAAAATTTTGACTATTTGACTAGAAACATATTGATAGGACTACAATCAAATAGTTTGATTATGCATGCGTAAAATCAGATTAGCAACTCAACCATAAAGTGCATAAGCAAGTGAGAAGACTCAATAACAATAAAAACACACCAAAAACTAAATTGACAAGCAACAAAATATAAATCTTAGGAGGCAAAGGTAACTTCAAATTAAACATTAACACTCAATATTTATACAATTTTAGACTTTTATATTATCTTTTCTCTTTCTCTTTTATGATATCCATTTTTCTATTTATGATATCTATTTTTCTCTTTTTGAATTAGATGTCTACACTATTTCGAATAAAATATGAAAATAAAATGTTTGATTTTATTTTTCTTAGGCTATATTTAGATATCATAAAATATATAGAGCGGAATGGAGTGAAATATATCAAAATGAAGCGGAGTGAAATGAAGATTTCATTCCATCGTTTAAAAATTATCGACAAAAAAAAGATAAATTTTTCATTCTGTTTATATCAGATCTAAAAAAATATAATAGTAAATAATTTAATAAAACAGAATTCATACCTCTTCATTTGACTCGACTCCATCATATTTTAAATTATTTAAACAATAAAATATCATTCTATTTTATCTGATTTCATCTATCTAAACAAGATAAAGCATTCTGCACTTATATATGATCTATATATTATAGAAAAATGCAATACCTTCCGATGTTTAAAATGTATATTTCATCTCAATAAGTGGGTAGTTCACAAATTAGGTATCACTTACATGTTAGAGGAAAAGGCTAAATACAAAAAAGAAAGTACAATTTCAATCGGTGGTTATTAATTGATAGAAAAGACTAGTGTCTTACAAGCTAGGGTCATTGTTCATTTAAATCCCCACTTGAGTTAGTCTTCATGGTTCATGTGGTCCTCTCTATAGCATATTCCAAACACCTTCCACCCTTCCCAATATTTATGGAATTTTTGTATGCTAACAACAGCACCTGAAAACAGTGATACTTGAAACCTCTCTCAACCTCCTTTAAAAAAAAAACCTTTTTTTTTCTTTCATATTCACTGATCCTAACTAATTAAATTCACCATGAAACCATCTTATCTTCACATCTTTCTAATTCTCTCTCCTATAAAAACAAAGCTTCCTAATTTCATTCCAAGACTTAAATCTCAAATTTCTTAAAGACAACTACCTAGTCATAAACTCATCTCAAATCTCTCAACATATGCATCAACAAATCCAAAAACCCTCTCTTTTTCTTTTGTCATTCTTCTCAAAACATGATGTTTGGTTGTTAAATAACAAACCCCTCCTCTAAAAACTATAGTTTCTTTTGACCATATTACCCTTTCTCTTTCTTGTTATCAGTTTTGAGTTTTCTTGAAACTTATCAAAAAATGGATCTTTTTCAAAACCCATCTTCTCAAAAACCAAACAGAATGGAAACATCTATATGGGTTGCAAAATTTGTGCTCATGTCCATAGGAATCATCTCAATTCTTGTTCTGTTGAAAGTTGCAATAATCCCATACACATTTGATCTTGTTCTATCAACTCTTCCTCAACTTTGGTTCTCAATAAAAAGATGGTTAACACTTCCTTTTCTTTATATTATTGTTAACTTCATCATCATCACCATTGCTGCTTCTTCAGGCTTTTCTGAACCCAAACACCAAACAATAACAACCGTTTTAGAAACTACCACCAACCCAATTGAGCTAGAAGACCAAACAAATGAACTACATGAAGAAGAAAAAGAGGTTGAAGAAGTTGCAGAAGATGAAAAAGATGAAGAAGAGAAAAGGGTTGTTGAAGTTGAGGACTGTGAATTATTCTGCAACAAATTCATCACTGACCCATCACAGAAAAAATGCAGCAACGATTACTACTTGACGAATTCTGATGATAAAGTTAAAGACTTTGGATTATTCTGCAACAAACTCATCATTGACCCGTCATCAGAAAAATGCAGAAACGACTATAACTTGATAGATTCAGATGATAAAGGTGATGATATTGATGACAGTTTGGAAGCAACATGGAAAGCTATAATGGAAGGACAAGAGAAAACAATGAAGCCGCATCTGAAGAAAAGTGATACTTGGACTGCAAGGATTGTGAAAGCAGAGCCATTTCGTAACAATGGTGGTTTTGGTGGTGGTGGCGGTGACGACGATGATGATCCAGTAGCTTGGGCTCAAAGGGAATTGAAAAAGTCAGAAACTTTCAATGATAGAGCTTCTTTAAGGAGAGAAAAATCAATAAGTCCTGAGGAATTGAATAAAAGGGCTGAAGCTTTTATTCAGAAGTTTAATAATCAGATGAAGTTGCAGAGACTTGAATCTTATCAGCGTTTTATGAAATTGGTCAACCGTGGTGTTTGATGATGATGATGTGGTTCATGTTAATCTCTTTTTCACACCAGTCACAGTCAAAATTTAGCAGAAAAACTGATTTTCTTGCAAGGATTTTAACCACTTTGGAGGTACATATCCAATCATTCCCTCAGTAAAGTGTCAATTCCATGAATTTTGTGCAGAATTTTACTGTCTTTTATGCTTTCTATATTATTTTTTAAGACTCAGTATTTGGTCGTATGAAAATAAGTCTAACATCCACTTGCTCTGTTTTCGTTTAAAGTCAGAGCAAAATTTTGTATGAACTGATTCAACACAAAAATTGTTAGAATAATCGTACTATTTATTATGATTAGTGATTAGTCTTTGTCCAACAACTTAAACTTTGAAATAGTAGATCATTTTTGTCATGTATCAGATGACAACTGTTCACATACACTAATACTAAGTTAGTAATTGGTAATACTAGTAGTTAAATATGCAACTTTCATATGGAATCTTTATATGTATAAATTAAACATAATCAAATGTTTGTTGAATTTATTTTAACTATATAGTTTGAGAGGATTCCTTAAAGCTTCTTTATTTATACAAAAGTGATATTTATATAACAACACTATAACTCCAAAAGTGACAGTATTCTTTAAGCATTAGGCTTTTAACATCTGGCAAAACATAAATAGTAGTTTGCACAATTAAATGAATCTAGCTTTGATTAATCTGTTCCAACTACCAAAAACAATTGATTGATGTCTAGAAACAAAATGTAGTCTACATTAGTGCATCTAATAACAAATAGTTTTTTTTTTCTATAAGCAATTAACAAACACATTTGCTTTGTCGTTTATCTATATTGACACTTTCTTCTCTCCTTTGCAGGATTTGATGTGTACATATTTTTGCAACTGAGACTGTGTGAAGAAGCCAGGACAAGTTTCAGACATGGTGCACTTTTTTTTTCCATGTTAAGTTTCTAGTGATTTAATAGAAATAAGTTAATATGTGCTCTTTGGTTTGTCTAAGTTATTTACATGTTCTAGTAGAGCTATTCAGAAGTCTAGTATTTCTTATGTTACTGATAAGTTTGTATCGATCATGTAGTTATCCTAGACAGCACTATAAATATGAGGATTATTGCTCTTTAATTCAGCTTTAAAATGTTGGTAGATGACATAGGTCAGAGAAAAGTATGTTAAATAATGAAAAAAAAAAGTAGCACCAATATATTATTTTTTTCATAAACTTAATAAAATTTTAAAACGGTTCTTAAATTTAAAAAACTCTACATCAGATGATTGACAAGGACCAACTTTTTGTGTATAGTCTTAGAAGAGAAGCTACGGCTTTTATTTTCTTTTGGTAAATGAGAAAATTGGATAAAGTGAATAGACGAGGATGAATTGAAGAAGTGCCAATAGCAAGTTGTCTATTGAATCAATTGTGCATTGTTCTATGTGATCTTGAGTTGATATAAGTGCTTTGACTTAATTTAAATTCGTCTCAAATTTTTGGAGACTCAACTATAATAAAATAAATAAAGTCTATAATAAATCACGATATAATAAATCGTGATTTAATTGTGACAATATTTGTGAAAGTCTTATTTAACCAAAAAGATATTTTAAATCTACAATAATCTGGCTTGCATACCCTTAAAAATAGATATTGCTTAATATAATTGGTTATATTATGAGATCTCTAAAGTCACAATTAGTTAAGGGATAAAAATTGAGGTTGGTTTATAGACTTAGTATAGTAAACACACACGCTCGTGAATTTTTTCAGTCAGTGGTATATAAAGACCATTCTAGATTTGGTAGTCTAGTAGGAGTTGCTGTATCTTGAAGCCTTCAATTTAATCATGATAACCTATTGTCGGAAAGTGAGTTTCACTTTTATATGCCACTAAAAATTTAAATAGAAGAGCCCCATATTTATACTTGTGTCACAAACATTGAGGGGTCCATACACAGCTTGTGTTTCTTCTTTTCTCAATTTAAACTTGTTTGTTTGAGTAAAACATCCATTTATTTTGTAAGCTCTTGATTTCTCTCTTACTCATCACTTATAAGTTAATTAGCCATTAAAAAAGGCTCGCCAAACTCAAAAAACACACTATAAAGTTTTTTGAAAAAATATCCTAAATAATTATAAAAGCTAAACTTCAATATTTAATTTTAAGCTTCAAAAATATGTTGGTCAAACTGGAACATTGTTAGTGGAACCAGCTAGTTACAGTTTTTCATTTATATGAAACTACAGACATGGCCCCTCTTCCATCTCCTGCCTGCAAAATGCCTTTAATTTCAATTAGAAAAGTTTAGTTCAGCACTTTTATAATAAATACATTGGCCTTCCATTTCCTTTTTTTAATAAGCATTTGGCCTTACATTTCCATTTCTGCCCAATCTTTCTACTTTTGCATGTGGGTTCTGCTTCCTCCAAAATAGCCGTGTATTTAGTTCAATAACTAATTATATTTTCTTTAAATTCCAAAAAAAAACTATAATTAGAAAAAACTAACATAAACTCAGTGGAATAAATCCACAAGGAGAAAACAATTGCAAAATATCAAATAAGAAAAAACCACCTTACACCCTTTTCCATTATGCTCTAACAAGGAGAAAACAACTAAGATGTCGCCAATCATAATGATAAGTCTCATAAAGCAAGCAAATGTACCTCTAATTTCTGGTGGCCTCTAGATAAAATCAATCAAAAGACAAGGGTCAAGTTGGAGGTTTCATTGACACCAGTTGTCTACATAACTGTTGCTTATGGTAATAATGATGCCTAAATATTGATTTAGAATAATGTGCTGGCTAGATGATCTAATAAAAAAACTCAAAAGTTTGCCATTATCAATGATAAGTCATTTTCTTAACCACTTATGGAAACAACTCACAAAATGCTTGGGCACGTTGCTAATTACGGCACAAGTATGCTGTGTGGACCTTAAGTTATGGAAGAGGAACAAGTTAAAGCAATGGCTACAAGACACAGCATTCAAAATTGCCTCATATAGATTTCTATATTCTGACTTCTAATGGATTCAACAACAGAAAGTTTCATTATTTGTTGTGCCCATATAGAAAGTTAACTTCCCACTATTTCTCTGAACAGCATAGAATAAATAAAGTAAGAAGTGAAAACAAGTACTGCATGTCGAAATAATGCCATGCCCCGTGCCCATTCCCCCTCACAATGCAAAACTCATGAGTTTCAACATTGTTGCAATTTTGAGACAGGATTTAAAGACACCACTAGTAAAGCTGAAAGAGATATGCCACTTCCTCCTAATACTCTAGTGTAATGTGGTGAAACTCATGTAACATACATAGCCACTTCAGAGGGTGTTTAGTGTCTGACACAGAACACATCACACACGAAACTACAATCAAATTATTATCCATGTGAACATGTAAATGTTTCACGTCTTAAATTCATATGATGAAATTGAAACTATTTGAATTACATATCAGCCATTGTCAAGAGTCTCACATTAGATGAGATATAGTATTAATCATATGTTTATAAGTAGAGTCAATCTTTGACTTACAAATGAGTTTATTAATAGTGAATAAAAATCAGCCCAAATTCTAAGAAGCATCATCTTTTGTCTAAATAAAACTATAATATCAATTATTTAATCAGAAGGGAAAACTAAAATGTACCCCCAAAAAAGTTATGAACTAAAAACATGAGAAGTGTAATTGAAGAAACAAGAAGCAAAGAGTTTACAAACAAATTCTCACATTAAGTGTCCAGAGTTTACTAGAAGTAAACAATTTTTTTAACCAATTCAATGTAGCAAAGAATCTCATATTAGCAACACAAGATCATGACTAACTTTGGAAAATTTGACTAAACCCAAATCACAATCTATATCTATATGCACTGAACAATATAGTGTTATGAATGAAGAAATACAAGAAACTCACATATGTGTAAAATAGAATGTCTGGTGGTGTGAGCTAGCTAGTTGCTAGTTGCTAGTTGAACCGATTAGCAAAGTCCAAGAGATGCTAATGAACAAAGAACAAAGAAGAGAAGAAGATTAAACCTAAGACGATCACGCGTGTGATCAGTGGCACGACCCAACAACCCTCCCATGCAGAGGAACAATCACAAGGCTCTTCAGCAGGTGCATCTGAAGGACCAGGAGAAGACTGATGAGGTGGTGGCGGAGGATTACGCTGAGGAAAACGAAGTGGAGAACGAGGTGGAGGTGGAGGTGGAGGTGGATTTCTCCGAGCGCCGCCGGGTTGGTTTTGATTATCACCGGTTCCGTTGTTGTTGGATTGGATCGGAATTTGGACTTCGAGTTTGAGGCCCATTTGGCAATGGCCCAATCTCCCACAGACGAAGTAACGGGTTCCTTCTGAGAAGAGATGGATCACTGTTTCTCCGGTGTTATACGTGGCTATTGCGTTTGCTATTGTACACGTGTCGTAACCTCGTTGGTTCACTTCCACCACATCGTGTAACGGCGTGTAAGAGAACACTGCCAAAGTGCCAGTACATGCAACCAAACGCTCGTTATTGCAAAGTTAAATTCAATTTTCCAAAAATGCCCTTATCTTTTTTCCCGCGTTCTTTTAAATCTGTTTTTCCTAACACTTCACGTTTTACATCGATTACCGAAGGAAAAGAAAAATCAACAGGAAGCGTGATTGTTACGAATGAATTCTCATATTGTTAGAACGAAAATTCAACTAATTAGGAAACGATCATTAAACATCTTAACCTAATTGATACTACTTTATCATTAATTAATTTGCGCGCATTTGCTAGATTTAACTAATTTTCAGATTTCAGATATTTTTTACCCAAAAAAACTGAAAGTTTCAGAAAATGCATATTATATAAGATCGTAACCGCTTTGTGAACTGAGATACGTACCGAGATCATCGCCGACATTGAAGGTAGTGGTTGAAGACCAGTCGTGCATATTAGCATTGAGATCCCAGCCGGAAGCGCCACCGACGGTGTGGTTAGCACCACAAACGCAACGGAAGAAGAGAATCGAAGTGAATACGATGACGATTAGAGCTTTCACAGCCCAAACTGGTCTCATTTTCCTTCGATCCAAACAGAAAGATTAAAACAATAATCGGAGTTAACTATAGCTTGATCAGATCGAATGAAATTAAGATCGCAACAAATTATACAGGAAATCAAAAGAGAGACAGATTTAGAAGTGTGATTAACAAGATGAAGCGTGATTTGGTTGTTATCTTGAAGAAAACGAAAAAGGTGAAGTTTGAGATTGATACCTATACGGAGAGAAGAGAATGTAGTGAGTGATGAACCTGCAAATTCAGAAAGTGAAATCTGAGAAGAATGAAAGAGGAAGAGAGAGAGAGAGAGAGAGAAAGAGAGATTACGTTAGAGTGTGAACTTGTTGCGGTGGTGGCGGATCGGCGAGAAAGAGAGATTACATTAGAGTGTGAACTTGTTGCGGTGGTGGCGGATCGGCGAGAAAGAGAGAATCGTTTTCGCGCCTTTATACAGAGAGAGAGGTGAGAGTTTTGGTTTCGTTTCCGTTGCGAGAGAAAACTAGTGTGTGCCGCACTTACAATGAGGTTCATGCGCGCGGTGATATATTTTAAAATAATTTATAGTGAAAACTAATTCAATAATAAATGACATTTAGAAATACTGTTTCGGATTTACTAATTTTTGTTTTGTTTTAGTATTGTTTTGAAAATTTATGAACTATTGCATGATTATTAATGGAGAATATTTTAATAAAATAATAATAATAATAATAACAATAACAAATACGAGTTTTGGATTACTAAAATCCATTTTTCTTAAAAACTAGTGTACGAAAACCAAAAATAAAATAAAAATAATAATAATAATTTTTTAGAATACTATACTATATTATAAAAGAAAAAATAATTACAAAGGGGTTGTTAATCATGACCTAATCTAAGAAAAAGAAAAAGAAAATAAAAAAAGATAATGACGAAAAAATAAATAAAATTCTATAGTCTTAAAATGAAATTGAATGTTCTTTTGTTCATCAGCAAAGAAGATGATTTGTGACACTCTTAAAACAAGGGTTATAAATTGACTGACATTTCTAGTTTATATATTTTTTATTTTTTTTATTTTTTTGCTTTTGAGACATCTGGATGCCTTTCCTGTATCATGTCTCTCCACATTTCCCTAATCATTAAGATGTCATTTTGCACTACTTCCTTTAACTCATCGCCCTTGGCATCCCTGTATTAAACTAAGCTTTCTCTATATTTTTCCAAGATTCCATTATTGACATTACCGTGTAATATATTATTTATTCTCTGCGTTAAATACATTTTTCTTGTATTAATGGCTCTTTTGTTGTGTGTTTCGATTGTATACCATTAAATTCATCTTTCTTCATACATAATTCAATATTAACCTCAATTAGGATTTTTTTTTCTCTTTCATATTTATAGGAGGAGTAGCAATATAGAAACGGTGGATAGTAAAATTGCTGAAGAAATGACAGATACATTTACCATGGTACTATCCACTATTATTATTCTATATCAATGATAGACTTTTAGTGTGTTTAGAATCAAAGGTAATAATAGTAATAAGTATATTATTATAATTGCAGTGGACTCTAAGAAGGAACATTCCACGTATGTAAGACAAATCATATATACTAGCATCTGGCGAACACAAGAGTAGCATCATAGGATGCTTGAAGTTGTGTTTTTTGTCGCTCATCATTTGCAATAACTCGCTTGTATCAAGTTTGGGTCAGTTTGTCTCTCACCCGCTTATAAATATGGGAATGATGTGTGCTTGCACACTAACAGGATAGAAAGATTAGTCAATGAGGGGAACCATGTTATCTGTGATTATAGGAGAAGTAATGGCCCCCATATATCTCACACTTCTGAGTGAAGAGAGAGAATAACTACAACTTGGGTCTAAAGGTACAGGCGCATGAGGTATTTATAAATACCTTGATCTTAGGGTTGATAGGGGATCAAATCATTTTTCACCCAGAAAACACATATATAGAACTTTTCATCACTCTGTGTAAGATAACTATAAGCACCATTAACAAACCTAAACACCACAGACAATCCTCCAAATTCAAAGATACTCTTATTGTACTTTTTTAGCGAGTACAATTTGTATCCATCATGGGGCCCGATAAAACTAACTTGTGTTACACTCACTATAATTTGCTAATCACTCATGTCCCCCTCTCTATAAGGATGGTAGGACAAGGTGTAGATGACACCACTAACACCAACACTTGAGAGTATGCTAGGAAAGTTTTGACGATGATCATCATATTCGCTAGCCTTGAGACAGGCTCAAACAAGGAGCCAGAGTCCAAAATCACCTTCTTCGACAAGGACGTTGTTTGTCCTCCCTCTTAACAACAATCACATGCTCATCACGGTGCAATATGATAATCAAGATGTAAAATGAATGATGATCGACCCCAAAAGCTCAATGTAACACCTTGGAATTTGATTCATTTATTTAATCAAATTAGTTGTATTTTATTTGATTATTTAGTATGTGATATGCTTTTAATTAAATAAATTGTGATTTTATATGTGTATGTGGTATATGGTGAGGTGTAGTGGGGGTAATGTGATGGGTTATTTCCGCAAGTATACAGAGTCTATCAGAGTAATATAAAGAGTGTCAAACCCACAGAGACCAAATGATCAATCTATCATTTTCTATTGCTACAGTATTTAGCTAAGTCGGTCAGAAATTAGGAGTGGAGTGGAAAAATAAAATGAAATAATAAACTTGAAGTAATTCAGAAATGCAATGCTGGAATGCGGATTTCATCAATTCGTTGATACTCTTATTGTTCCTAAATTGAACTACCTATAGGACAATGTTTTCTTCTTTGAAAAAGAACTAATTAAAAAGGAATTATCATTGTCGCGTAATCGGAACCTGATTTTACTCTCTAGTTTATATTGTCCGCTCTCGCGTGTCCGACGCACTTTATTTTAAAGAAGTAAATACCTTTTTTTAGAAATAAGTTTCTTTTACTCGGATGAAAAGTAGTTTTGATTGGAAAATTAGACTTTAAAGGGTTCATGGCTTTCTCTCGACCAACTGGGTCTTAAACTTATAAACGCGCCGGAAAATAGATTTAAAACCACTTTCTGAAAACATCAAATTTTCCTAATAAAGTTCTTTCGCGGTGTTTATTAATAAAAAACGTAACAACTTTAATCTTTGGTACCAGACAACTTTCGATCTTACCCGGCATATTCATGGTTCTGCTCTAGTAATAACCAATCAAATTAAGTTTAGAAAATTGTAATAAAATCAAAACAGTCCCATAAGTATTTCTAAAAGAACAACAATTAGAGTATTATCGAATCGACGGTCCTCACATTCCAACACTATAGATTTAGTCGGACATAGTTATAACAAATGATAAAACAATTGAATTTAACATGGAATTAAACATAATAGGCATAGTAGATAAAGCTTGAAACATGCAATCAACATATATAAAATTAAAGTAAGATAGGAACATGCAAATAAGTAAAGAGACAATATGATAAAAGAAATGTGATTAATAAAAACCTGCTCCAATAGAGTTTTGAATATGGAACAAAGTAAATTGCTGGAAAACTTGAAACAAAATGTAAATGGATGCAAGATTAAACTTTAATAAAATAAATGCTCCAAACTCTAAAACTGCTACAAATAAAGTTGCTCCAAGCTCGGTACAAGAACAAGTGTAATAACCCCCCGATGTGAAGAGTTAGAGCTTTTTGACAGTAAAGTATATGGCTTACAATGAACTAAGCTTGGATCCCTGTAAATTGAAGTAAAACTAGTATTTATAGAGTTCTAAAATCCTAAATGATGAATTCAATGTAGCTAGGGTCGTGTGAGAGAAGTTTGGAAGGAGTGGGAGAACATGCCAAGGCAGTTGACATTTTTTCATTTCTACAAGGGATGGCGAACGCCATCCATCTGTAGCGAACGTCACCAATTCATTTCTTCTTTTGACTTGTTCTCTTGGCTTTCTAGACATGTTCTTCCCTTGCCACATCACGGCCACCTTTGTGGCGAACGCCATGGTGTGTGTCGTGAGTGCAAATAGCTCATTTTCCTTCATTTTCGGTCTGATTCGTTTTGTTTCTCCGTGTAAGGCTCTCATATGATCAAGTACTCGAAATAAAGATAAAATACCACCATAATACTGGAAATAAAGGTAAAATAACTAATAAAACATGTGCAAATCGATTCAAATATACAATGTGTTTTAGCGTTATCATAATGGTATGTTGGTAGAATAATTAAAAGTAATTATATTTAACAGTTATTTTTGTAATTATTTAAATAAATAAAAATAAATTGATGAGAATTTAATGGAAAAATGGAGTTTATAGAGTTATTAAAAAAATAAGGGAAAATAGTGGTTTGTAGTAGAAATTAGAGTAATTAATAAAATAAAAAGAAAAAAATAGATGAGCAAGGGTAAATTGGTAATTATGGAGATAAGTGAGGATGAAATTGAAATAACCAAAATAGGGGATTAGTTTTTAGGTTAATATGTTGTGATTGTTGTATTGAGTTTTCACCATTGATGTGTTGTGGAAGTTTTGAAAAGCTAACAGAAATCATTAAAAAATGTTGATTTTGATGTTTTAAATGATGATTGGGTGTTGTTTTATTATGTATGATATGTATATTGGTGCTTTTTGATATGAAAATCATGTTATAATTATTGTATGACGAATTATGAGCGTTCTGGTTTTTATAGAATCAAAATCTAAGCCCCGAAAGTGCTCCAATGGAGGAAAATTGCAAAACAACATTTTTGGGTTATGTGCACTGCTACGGGCCGTAGCAGATGCTACGGGTGGCCGTACCAGCTCCCTGGATTTTGTACTGCAAAATCATTTTGTCCATAACTTGAGTTTTGTGACTCCATTTGAGACGTGATTCGAATCGTTGGGTAGCTAACGCAAAATACTATCTTATTATGATTATTTAGGTCTTATATGTATTTTAAAACATGGATAGTATGTTTACTTGTGATATATTTTGAAGGATGGTTGTTGAATATTGATAAGATTAAGATTGAAAATAGTGTGGAGTTGGGCATGTTGAAACTGACCAGTGGTATTCTTGAAGAGACCAGAGATGGTCATAAGATCAACTTAGGATTGATTGACCGGTTAGTGATAATCAATCAAGGTAAAGGTGGTGATTTCATAATTGACGAGAATGGTGTGATAAGGTTCAGAGACAGGTTTTGTGTACTAGAGGTGCCAAAACCTAAGAAGAGCATTCTTGAGGAAGGTCATGGGAGTGTTTGAGTTTTCATCCTGGTGCTACTAAAATGTATCAAGATTTGAATAAGATATTTTGGGGGGCCAGGAATGAAGAAGGAAGTAACTGAGATTGTTTATTCCTGCTTGACTTATCAAAAGTTAAAGATTGAACATCGGAAACAGTCGAATCTGATTCAACTGATGAGCATTCCTGAGTAGAAGTGGGACAAAATTTCATGGACTTGTGCTGAGTTTTCTGAAGACGAAAAAAGGATGTGATTTTATCTGGGTTATTATTAATATATTGACTA